GTGTTCTGTGTGTGTGTGTGTCAGTGTTCTGCGTATATGTGTGTGTGTGTGTCAGTGTTCTGCGTATATGTGTGTGTGTGTCAGTGTTCTGCGTATATGTGTGTGTGTGTGTCAGTGTTCTGTGTGTGTGTGCATGGCTGTTCTCTAGGCAAACCATATTTAGCGGCATGCATGTGTCTGCATGCGTGTACATGTGTGTCTGCATGCGTGTACATGTGTGTCTGCATGCGTGTACACGTGTGTGTGAATGCCCGCAGGCCGCCAGGTTACCGCTGCGGAGTCCGAGCGGCGGGGGAGGGTTTACGCACCTGGCATCAGCCTCGCTGTAGTACTCTCGGGCCACAATGTCCTCAAACAGCTCACCGCCAGTGACACTGAAGACAGGCGAAGTACATCAGGCATGTTTTGGTCCAGTAAGTACAGAACGGTGTCGATAATGCCGGCTAAGAAGCAGGGGCAGGGGGTACTTACAGGTCAAAGACGAGATAGTGAAAGCCTTCTTCAGCAATACTGTCATGGAGTCTGACTGTGAGGGGGGGCAGGACAAAGAGAGATAGACAGCGTGACCTTTGACCTTTGACATTTGCAAACCCCTGTGGTGACATGGTACTTCAAAGACTCTAATCAGAATTAAAATCTCAAAAACCAAAACGAGCAGCAACCAAAGAGCTTCCAGCATCCGAAGTTTAGAAGTTCTGACTCTGCGGACCGCCAGTCCCATGTGGACCAGCTGGGGGCGCTCTAGGCCAAATTCCACACCAGAGTAGGCGGAGCAGAAGGGCCCAAGGGTGAAACGGACGAAGAAGAGGAGGAGAAGAGGAGGTCAGAGTTTTAAAAAGAGGAAAAGAAAAAAAAGACATGACAAGTTTTCCCTTGGAGGGGGAACGTGAGGGGAGAGACTGACATAGAGAGGAAAGAGGGAGAAAGAGGGAGGAATGGAGAGGGTGCCTTTCCGGGGAGAACAATCTGGGACACAGAAAGTGGAATACATGAAGAGAAAGTGAGACAGACAGAGGGAAGGCCGGGGGGGGGTGGGCTAAGTCTGGGAGACAGGCATGAAGATCAGAGGAGGAGAATGGCGAAGACAAGAGCAAAACGGTCTGGTCTGCCTGGACCAGAAAGCCGCTACGGGGTGAAAGTGCCCCCCCCCCCCCAAACAACACACGCTCAGCTGACGGTCCCTCCATTTAAGAGCCAAACAGGGGACAATACAGCCGAGGTTGAGAAGACGTTCCCGCTGAGCTCGGCCTGCAGGAGGCGCACAATACTCACCGATGTTGGGATGCTTGAGCAGCCGGCAGATCCGTGCCTCACGCTCCAGTTTCTGATGATCTGAGGGGTGAGGAGAGAGAAGAGGAGGAATGAAGGCAGACGGAGGGAGAGGAGGGAGGGAAAAAGGGAGACGGAGTAGCAGTCGCTGCCCGCTGGTTCCCGGGGGGAGCCTCGTCTCGGCACTCCAAAGACACGGGAGGAGCCGGGCTTGGCCACCTGCCTGAGTGAGGACACGGAGCACCATCTGGGCCGGGCCGGGCTGGCGGGAACCGCACAACCTCCATTTAGGGACAACGCAGAGAACACAGAGCCAGTGAAGACACCCAGAGCAGCCAGTGACAAAATGGGCATCTGACGGGACCCAGGACACGCCGATTAGCCTACGTGTCTTCAGTCAGCGTTCATAACGAAAGCCCGCGACGGGAAAAGTCAAAGTTTTAGGAAAAAAACCTGATAAACATCTTAGAAAGTACACCTAAGGGGGAAATGGCCATCATACATTATTCATGTATATTATTTTAATGAAGTGACTCTGCACAGGCAAGGCCTGGCTGCTCGGCCAGGAGATAAATCTGTCCCGCCCAGAGAAGGGGCTGGCAGTTTAATTCGGGCACAGGGGTGCTTGGGAATTATTTAATATATTTTCGGAGCCCCATTTAAGACAAAAACAAACGCAAAACAAACAAAAGAAGAAAGCGCTGTACAGCTGAACAACCGCACAGGTGGAACATAGGGGAAAGATCCCAGGCCCCTCTGGCGAGTTTCTGAGGGTCGGTGAAGCACCAGATCGAGAACCAGCAAGAAGAAAAACTGTCTGGGCGCCTTCATGCTGGGGTTAATGGTACTGAGGACAGTGGGGGGGGTGCATGTTTTCCAGTGAGCAGCTTCAAATAACTATGAAAAATATCCTTCATGTGGCTCTTCTCACAAAGGTGTGACTCGGAGCAGGATGATGGCGCCGCAGTGCGGGACTCCTCCAGGCCCCACACACGCACGGCTCAGTCTTTGGGCCGTTCCAAAGCGGAAAGCAGGCACTGCTGACATTTTAATCAAGCAAGAAGCTCACAAATCCCTCCTCACCAGACAGCACCTCCAATAGCAGGCAGCATCCTCGCTAAGCCCCGCCCTCTCCACTCACCCAGACCAGACAGCACCTCCAATAGCAGGCAGCATCCTCGCTAAGCCCCACCCTCTACACTCACACAGACGTGACTGCATGTCCAATAGCAAGCAGCATCCTCGCTAACCCCCGCCCTCTCCACTCACCCAGACGTGACTGCTTGTCCAATAGCAAGCAGCATCCTCGCTAAGCCCCGCCCTCTACACGTACCAAGACCTGACAGCACCCTCAGACCAACACATCACTACAGGTCAACCCATCACAGTCCCACAGTCTCCCCCCATCTTTCCAGTCCACTAATGGAATTCGCACAACACATCCTACAACGGTCTTGGTTTAAGCCACTTCTCATAAGCCCCTGAAAGACAGGGGTCCTTTCCCGGCCTACAAACTAGGACTTCAGCAAGTGGGACTGAGAGACTCCGCTCTGCTTCTACTGATGTGGTGTAGAGCATCGTTTCTGAACCCATTTCTTGAGGTCCCTCAGACTTTTGACCCCTCCCGTGGACTGGGTTCAGCAGCAGTAGCATAGACCAATCCTGAGAAGGTGCCATAGTACATAGCTTTCTCCAGAGCCCAATGGCACAATCACTCTAATAACAAGGGGATTTGAACTAGCAACCTTCTGCTCACACCCACGACATCCTAACCCGCTGAGCCACACCTCCCCAACTCACTAAAAAGAACCCTTCATGCTGTCCAAATGTCCCCCCCACCATCAATACTGATCAGGCGACCTCTCATCTGCACAAGCCCCCGCATTTAATTACAAGCACGTCCAACGTCCGCTGCCCGCTTTAACGAGGGAGGGGCATGGGTCCCCTTAGCACGACGCCCTTAGCCACCTGCTTACTCCGCACTTTCGGAAATTAGCTTTTTTCCAACAAATCAAAAATAAAATTAAGAGCAGAGCAGCTACTAGCGTTGAGACTGCGTCATACGCGGCACAACGGCAGTGGGCAGAGCTGAAGGCCCAGACCCGCCCAGTCACATCCTTAAGAGACGCCCATGAGACAGCAGACGATCAACACGGGATCATCGTTGAGCCAGTTTCAGCTCTGAGGTTTCAAAACTCCTCGCTGACGAAGCGATGAAACTCAAAAATGAGAAAACGAGGCAGGTTCCGCAGGCCCCTCCCCGCGAGGCGCTACCCCTGGTCAACATCATCCTGCTCGCTTTACAAAGACGCGCCCGCTTGGGGCGACGGGTAATCAGCAAGTCCCGAGCCGTCCGCCTGCGCTGCCCGCACCTCCAGCTGCCCCATCTGGCCGGGTGAGTTTTGTGGTGAGATGGGGGGGGGGGAACCAGGCTGCAAACAGCAGCTAATCGCTAAGACACAAATTACAAACCCAAGCATAATATAAAACCATCTGTTAAGGACTAATGAGTTCACCCTAAATTCTATATGTTACTCATCTATTAACAATAACTAAGTTACTCACTGCTTTTGGTGCTTCCATTAGGTGTGACCTCACAGCATTACTGTGACACCATGGACACGCTTATCCTCACAGGGGGTGATGGATTCTGGGTAACGTGGATGGGTTGGGAAATTCCTGTGGGTCCAGTGGAGTGATTGTTAAAATGAACCTTTCATGGTTTAAGGTTGAGGGTCTAACGCGTGATATCGTGATATTTCGATATTTAATATTCATCAACAGTCACTGCACGGCGGCATCCCCTGTCGATTTTTTCACACTTTGTAGTTCACGCTAAACCAGCAAGCGAGGTTAAGGAGGCCATGAGGATTGTGGAGCACGGTGTTAATGCTGCGCTCCATTTCAATGCGGAAGTCAGACATTCCTGCTGGAAGGCCTCCAGTAGGAATCCTGCCTCGGAAAGTTGGAGGAACCACTGCAGCTCAGAATCCAAGATGGCTGCGCCCATCGTCATCATCAGTTAAAGCTGGAGTTTTATAATGTTTATTAACACTTACGTCTTATTTGTGACTCATTAAATCGGTCTGTGTGACTGTCTAACCGCTATCTGTGGACGTGTTGCTACAGTGTTTTTTTTATGTGCAAAATACCACATAATGCATCGTCATCAACTGATATTGCAACTGATTATCCGTGATAGAACTGGGGCTCGTTTCAGAAAACAACATTTCTTGATTAGCCGTATAACTTGTCAGGCTAAACGTAAGAGAACGATAATAAAGGTAATTTAAACTGAGGTAAATTGTTATCCAGCTAAGCGAGAAATTCTGGTTTTCGAAACAGGTCCCTGGTATTGCCAACTCGCTTTCTGAAGTATTTCACTGCAACATGGTTAACTGAGGTGTGACATCATTCCCAGCTCCAACTTCCGACCTCCAAGGTAAAAGGAATGCAGAATAACTAACCGGTAAGCAGAGACAGCCAATCAGAAAACATCACCTGAGAGAGGCAGTAGCGCAGCGCTACAATGTGGCAACTCATGTTCTTCTGGAAACTTACAGGACGAGTTTAACAGCTTACTAAAGAGCGGTATATGGCTCTGCCTGTTAGGGCGCCATGCCTGTGATCAGAAGGTTGCTGGTTCAAATCTCAGGCTCTCTGAGTAAGACTATCATCTGCCCTAGGGTCTGGCTGACTGAGCCTTCTTAATTGTATGTTGGATTAACTTGTCTGCCAAATAAGTAAAAACACACCAGACCTATGAATACAGCTCAGTGGCACCTAGGATGGCACCAAGAGAGCAGCCCCACACACGTCCCGGGAACAGGGTGGGGTTTTGAAGCATTACAGAGATTTCGAAACAAGGCCAGAAGGCAGTCAGCTTATGGGTAAAAATAATGCATGTGAACAACATGCCAATGAATGAATGATAGTAACATGGAGTGCATACACAGGAGCAAGGGGTGTGACTGAGGGCCCAGAGGAGGGAATTTTCCAGAATGAATGCGTAAGAGCAGTTCGGCCAGTGAGGCGGCTCTGGAAATGAGAAAGTTAAGTGGTTATTCAATAACAAACATGCTGTGTGGAGGATTCACAGCCCTGGACTTCTGCATTATTCATTGATGCTGTAGCGATGCGCAACATGCTTTCCCAGCTTGGCCAGCAGACACAGAAATGAAAGTGACACCCCCCCTCCCATTGGGTAAGGGTCGCCTTCAGACCCCAAACCCCCCCCCCCCATCTTACTGTGACCTACTGTCCCATGAAAATGGACGCCAATTTGCCTGAGCCAAAGCCAGTGGAACACCCAGGACCAAACTGGCCAAATTCGAACCCCCCCATGGCGTGAGACGCCGTGTCCATGTTACAGGGCTCACAGCACAGGCGTCGTCTTCATCAAACCACGCCAAAGGTGCCCAGGGGTGAAGGCCCTGACAACTGGCACAAAAAGGAGGAGGTTTTGTGGTTATTTAAGGAGACAATTCAAGGGGCAGTGAAGACCAGGTCCCCCAAAAAGGCCAGCTTGCTCAAAGACTCCCATGACCAACCAACCAAACAAGCAGGAAGAACGATCTTTAATAGCGACATTAATCCCAACTCCGCTCCAGCTACAACTGCGGCCGTTTTCCCCCACCAGCCAGGCCAAATATGGGCAACCGAGGCTGTCACATGACCGACATAACTGTGTCCTTCGAGAGCGTGAGCATACCCAGGGCCAGGAGGGAGGCGAGGGCCACCATGCCGGCTCCTGGCACCAGACTGAGGGCAGCCAGTTACAGACTGATGTCAGCGTGGGGCAAACGCAGCTCGGGCCAGAAGTGCGGCCTAAGAACTCTCGAAAAATGCTGTTTTTATTTATTTATTATTTATTTACCATCTTCTCCAAAGAAGAATACAAGATGAAAACAAGATGTCATCGCAAATTATGAAATATGAGCCGCTCAGTTACGTTGCCCGTAATGAGCAAACGACATTCCCTAGATATCAGTAACTCGAGATGGATTCGTAGGCATGTTTAACAAAAGATGCTTAAGCAAGCAAAAAAACAACACACACAGACA